CAAGAATTTTATACCAAGAGTCTCGGCTATTCCAAAAGGTTCATATCGATAAAATACGGATGTTAATGCTCTGGATACCGCCTTATTAGTATTCCTTTGTCCCAGGATGCCGTTCAAGTTTGCCGGGATTTTTTATTTAGTTTACGTTATCACAGATCAAACCGAACACCAAATACATGCCATTCGCTTGATATGCATATTATTCAATATTAATATATACGTGTTTTTGAATCAATTCGATTAATCCACGTGTAATTTTTAATACATTTTTTATTTTCAAAATACCATTCTTAATGTTAAATGTGATGCATTTCTTGTAATGTCAAAGAGGTTACCATAAGCGAAGGTATCATCTTTAATGTCAATATTATCCATTACTACCAAACTCTAAATGTTAGGTCCAATTTTGAGCTTTAATGCTGGTACAATTTTCGGAATGCGATTATTCTTATTCTTGTTTTTACTATTACATGTAGACAACTAATGCACGAAAGTGTAGCAAGTTTTATAATAAAATTATTTAATTCAAGTATAAGATACATTATTACATAATTTTCATGATAAGTCGTATGAATTTGCAAAATTTTCACATTTATTGGATTGTTGAGTGTATATTAATAATAATGATTATGATAGCAGTATGATAGCGAAATTGACGATGATAATGAAAATCAAATCTACATTTGAAATAAATAAATGATTTAAAGCGCGTAAGGCTCTGAATTGAATCGCATTTGGATACATATCGCATATACTACTAATTACTTATAACCGAATCAACACAAACAGTAGTTTCATAATTCTTAATCTATTTGTAAAAAGAAATTGTTAGGCTTCTGAAAAATCTCTTGAAAAAATATTTCGTAAAACCTCGACCATAAAATGTTCAAGTAGACGTGACTTTCAAAATTGCTCTACGGGTATGGAATAACTTAATATTAATACGCGTGTTTCAAACCTAGGCAAAAGATTTTGTTTGAACCCCCTAATAGAACATTTACATCAACGTCAAATTAAAATATTAGAACATCAAAAAACGCGCCTCGCCTCTTATAATAAACAATTTGTTGGAATAGCCTTTTTTACACAAAAAAATTTGTCATATGTAACGTTTTAATTTTAAAAAATGAATGTCAAACAAATCTTTGAATTCTAACAGTTCAAGTAAAAGTTTGTTTCATGGGCAAAAACAACTCGAACATTTATGTTACAAACTTGGGTAGGAATGTTAACGATCTGTCTTTAAATAACATGCCTAGTTTTTCTCGGTCTAGAAAAGGGACTGTGACCCTTGAATTGCTCCTAGACTGAAAGTACACATTATGTGGCTCGATTTGTTCATAAAGGTAGACTTCGTCCCTAGACCGAAATGACCAGATTGTCAACTCTACCCATATATTTACTTACCCCCTAGTACTAAATAAAGAGAAATAAAGTTAAATGAAGATAGCATAAAATTAACAAGTTGGTTAATATACTTTAAAACTTAAAGTTAAAAGAATTTCTACTTTTATCAATCAATAAAAGATCAAAGGGTATTAACGTCTAAGTTAATATCTATTTAGATGTCTAGGTTTGTCAATTTATTTAACTAAAAACAAAAACAACAAAAAACCATTTTCTCGTATATGGAATTATATACATAAATATAGTAATGCTAATACTAATGTTCGTATTATTTCCGTATATGAACTTTTTTCAATGGTAGAGAGTAGGTAGTTCAGGCAGAATGTTAAATATTTTTTTTGTATGAAACCGAAATTCCATAGTAATAGTAATAGTAATAGTAAATGCAGAAGATTGAATTTAATTTTGCATGAAATTCTTTATTTTTAAGGAAGTCGGGAGATTTTTTTTTCTTATGATTTCAATTTACTTTGAAGTAAAGTTATTGATAATTAGATTTACAAAGAAAAACTTATTTTCGCAAAGAAATCAATTAACTTCATAAAATCACAATAGCTCTAGACCACATCCTTTCTCTAAAGGAGCACCAATCCCACTCACTGTAGTATTTTTATCTGATGCTATCGTTCCTAGATGAACCGATAGTTTTACTGTTTTCGGAACACCAAAGAAATGTCTTTATAGCTTCCGAACTTGTGATTGTATTTTTACTACGAAAATTTGTTCTGAAAGTTTGTGTGATATGTCAACTAGAATCACATTTACTGAAACAGCGAAAGTTCCGATAGTAAATCATACGATATCAGAGTTGCTGTTGTGAATTTAGTTACTACTGATGCTTGCATATTGGCTCTTGTTGATGCTGTATCTGCTGCGAATCAGTGTTGGTTTCCAAAACTCGAGAGTTTCGCAACCGTGCGAAAGTCAAAAGGTTTCGCCATAAGTCGAAACTAGTTTTGATTTTTGACTATTTACTTTTGATTTAGTTTTGACATATAACTTTTAATTTTAGTTTTGACTTTCACGTATTCAAAATAGTTTTGGCGACCAACACTACTGCGAATACAGCCTAATTCAGCAATAATTTAATGATATAGTACAAATGTGCTTGAGAGGCTCAAGAGATCAATATAAATTATATATCAGTAAATGTTGCAGATTTAGGATTATAAATCCCAGTTATCATGTACTACCAGAGTGGTAATTTAGATTAGCATACAGATGTATGTATGGATGTTAAAGAAGTTCACAATATTATTGAATTTTGGTCTAGCTCATTTAGTGACAAATTATCAAATGGTCTCTTGATAATAAATATTATAAAATATTTAAAACAACAAATTGATGAATTAGAAAAATATTTGATGAAACGGACAAAATATATTTTGTTACTTCAATAATTACTACAACAATTCATCCAAATGCCATTTATACTAGCAGATTATTAAAATTTACAAATCTTCCTCAACCTGCAAATTCTAATAAAGTAACTATTAAGGCAATTATAATGGTAATTATTAACATTATTTATGAAATATTTTAAATAATTTAAAAAACTTAATGTTATAATCGTTAATATGAATATTCTTGCCAGGTCAAATTAATTGTACCAGATGAAATACCTAATTAAATATATATTCAACCTTTTCTTCAAAAGAGTTAAATTTCATGATTATGCATTAGTTCTCAAGGATGAAATTGTGAATCTTTGTAACATTGTTTTGATCTGATCATTATACTCCGTACATAGGCCAATCTCTTGTCCAAGGCTTCTCATATATCGTTTAATAGTTGTTGCTTGATAAATTTTACCATCTGCATAAGAAATAATAACTGAATCTCTCACGTTCGATTTTTGATTTATAACTTTGTTGTAAGGGACTATAAATTCTGAGTACCCTTGATAATCAAAATAGATTAAAATTACTTTAGCAATGGTTTCTGGAACCAATTATACATTCCTCAAAGTGCACAAATTGTCTTTATATTTTTTAAGAACTTAACATATAATATTATAATCTGTGATTTTGATGATATAATGCATTATGAAATTCCCCAAGAGCTAATCACTTTTCTGTTGTGCATTGTTTTTTTTTTGGAAAATAGGAATACAAGAAAAAGAATCGGATTTGTAAATTATAATTGGTTCTTCTAAAAACTCTTTCCCTGCAGTTTAATCCAATTGATTCCCATAACATAATTCCAGATACAGAAAACCCATCTTGATAATAGGCAGGCATCTGAGTGGCTATATTCTAAATTGATTACCGCTTTTTTGTCCACTTACTGCATATTTCATTTTACAAATATATATTCTCCAGTGATTGGAACAATAATAATTTCATTCAAAAATTCATCAGAAATATTTTGAGAATAGTGTAATTTTTTTAATGCAACAATTCTATCTTCATAAATCTTCCATCAATATTTTTAGTTAGCTTTGTATACGGTGGTGAAACCACTTTCTTTATCTTTGCAGTAGCTTTTAATCATCGTAAGGAATCCATTGGAGATAATTAATATCTATAATCTGTTACTTTAAGTTGTGCGCTTTTTATTAACTTGTGTGTCTAAATTTATTTGATGAGAGCTAAAGTCAATATTAAACTTTAAAAGCGAAAATAATTAATAATAAAAGTATTAAGTTAACAATTACCATTACTATTATCATTTACAGGTTATGGAGGATTTGTAAATTTCAATAATCTACTTTTATAAACTGCATTTGGATCCATAGATGCTGTAATTATTGAAATAAAAATTTGGGGTCGTAATCAAAAATCCAGGTCTTACTCCTTCATATATCTTTATTATTGTGTGCCAAACTGCTAAAATGTTATTGTCCCATTGATACCACAGACATCAGAACGCCGAATTATATATATCAGCAAAAGGTTGAGATATTCAATCTTCAGATGGTTTTTCATTGCTTTATCATATTTCTCTTTAGTCTCTTTGATCAAATTAACCTTTCATTTTGAATTTAAATCAGTTTTAAGCAAATTTGAGATTCTAATTTAGGGAATTGTTTAGATTTCAAATAAACCTAATTCTGTTAACAAGCTAGAATTTTGGGAATGTTCTAATATTAATACTAAGTTCCGCTGTTGAAATTTGTGTAATCGGGATAATGAAAATATGTGTTTGTGTTGTTGTTGTATTGAGTCATTATTTTTAAAGTAATGAAAAAATTATATATAATATATATTTACCATTTCATTAAGTTCTGAATTCAAATCAAATACATTTTCTTTATATTATCAAAGGCTTTGACAGCTTGCTTCTATTTTATTTAACCTTCACGTAAGCTCAACCAGTTTTTCTATTTATTGAATAAAATAATTAAATATTATATTTGCGAATCTCTTCCTTCAACTATTTGCAACTTGTTAGTGACAATGAATTGGACAGATCTAAATTTGTTTCTTCTCTTTCTTTTTCAAGTAGAAATTATAATTACATCAACTGTGACACCAAATGCCTTGAATTCTTTCCTTCACCATCAAATCTGAAAAATCAGATTTCTTGTTAACATCAATAACTTAATTGTAATATTTTCTGCATCTTCATCTTTTAAATATTCTCCTTCCCCTTCATTTTGATATTGTTGATGGCGGATCTGAAACAAATCTGGATGCCACATGGGTATAACTCCACAACATTCCTTGAGGATTCTCATATTTAGGATCAATAAACCATGTAAAATCTCCGGCTTCTTTTGCATCATCATTATCTTCATCTTTATCGATTAATTCATTTAATTCATTTTTTTCTGGAAAAAATCCTGGATATAATGATTTATCAATATGTTCAACTTCAACTTTCTCATCATTCCTTCTACATCTACCACTCCTATTTTTACATCTTCCCTTTTATCATTTTTTTCATCTTCATATAATACAGAAATTTGATGAATTTCTACTTGATATTATAAAGTTCCTTTAAACAATAATAATTGTTATTATTGATTGTATATTTTTATTTTTATTATTGTAATTATGATGATTATTATTATATTTAGGTAATTTTTTCGAAAATTTTTACCCGTGTAACTTCTTTTTTATCTGTTGTCTTCTAAAACCAAAATAAAAAAATAAGAAAAATGACAGCACCTCAAAATCCAATCGCTAGAGCCATTTGGGATGGTGCCTTACCAATTAAATTTTCTTTAGATACTGAAGAGGCTGAAGCATTAGGCGTAGAAACAATTGAACCTTATTTTGTAAGTTTTTCAAACTTTCGGGTTTAGCAATCTTTCAATTTCATTCTCATCATTCATTCTCATCATTTAATTGTGATAGATAGAAGCACCTCGTTGTTCGTATTTCCCACTATTAACAAGTGTAATAAGAAAATACTTTCGTGATATGGCGATGAATTTTATTGTTGATGATGCAGAAATATGGTATGACGTTGATGGAACACCTTTGAAATGGTAAGTGTGTGTATGTGTATATATATATATATATTGCCACTATTTACTTCTCTCGTCATCATCATCATCATCATCATCAACATCACCATAATTGATAATTAATAATAATAATGATGATGATAATTAATAAAAAGGCATTATCCAATTGGACTACTATTCGATTTACATACAGGATATAGACCAGATTCAAATAGTCCTCCGCCATTACCTTGGTCTGTAACTGTTCATTTTAAAGACTTTCCTGCAGATAAATTAATAAGAGCTCAGGCCATTGACGCTACTCAAGATTTTTTCATGTCTATGATTAAAGAAGTAGGGGTTTTTAAAATTTAAATTAATCAATTATTAATTGTTAATTATTAAATCGATAATTCGAAAATAATATTAAATAATAATGTTGTTGTTGTTTCCAGGCAGATTTTCTTAGAAATGGTACAACAAAAAAAGTAATGAACTTATCAAAAAATGACCAAACACAGCTTTGGGATGGATTATGGTCTAGTATCCTTTTTATTTTATTTTTATACAATACAAAAATATTATATGAAATTATTATCTTTAACTACTATGACACCACCACCATACTCCTGATTTTCCACCTTTTATTAATGTAAAAAGAGGATTATGATAAATTTTGGAGCGTGAATTATCGTTTAGTGATTAATGATGGCCAAGTTCCAAGACATATTCCACTTCGAATATATTTACCTGATAATTGTCCAGTAATACAAGAAGCAATCTCTCCTTTAAACGAAGATGGTATATTTGATAATAATAAAATTTTTTTTACTCAATTCACATATTATTATTTCCATGTCATTAATCAAAAATAACTTCAATTCACACATACATACATAAATATATAGGTCATCAACTTACGCTTGGAAATGTATTACACCATATCCTTCCGGACTTTTTTCCATCATCACAACCTTTATCAAATGAGAGTTCTTTTGCTGCACCTGTTATTCATGGTATAATCCCACAATTAGATATTCCGATAGTATGGGCTTCTCAAAATCTTTGTTATCCTGATAATTTCTTACATATTGTAGTTTTGTTAGGACTATAAAATTATATTACATCATACAATTATAATTGTTTAATATTAATAATGATTGCATTATTAATATTAATTACTAGAATACAATATTTTTTGGTAATTAAAAATTTTTTTAAAAAATAAAATTGTATAACTATATTTATTTATTTGCAAAAATAATAATTAATAACATGTATCACAATATTTTTATAGATTAAAGATTGTTTTAAGGATTTCTAATTCGTCCACTTCTTTTAATAATTCATCATTTTCTTTAGCGGAAGGATTTTCTTCGATTTTTCTTTTTTTATAATTATTATTATCTTCATCTTCATTTACTTGTATTCTTTTCAATTTAATTTGTTCAACAATTTTTGATGCTCTGTTACGAATAAATTCTTCTCGTTCATCTTCAATTTTAATATATAAATTATAGTTTTTACGATTGTTATTATCATCATTGTCATTATTAGTGTGTTCATATAATCTACTAAGATTGTTTTTTAATTTAATTATTTGATTTTGAATATTTTGAAATGTATCTGTTACAGGAAAAACTATTTATTATGTTTTTATATTAGTACTTTATACTTGATATTTTTAATGATGATGATAATATCTTTTAAATGAAATACCATTATGATCTTTTTCCAACTTGGTAAAAAGTGTTGATCCTTTTAAACAATTATCAAAACAAACGGCATATGAACTGGTTTTTTCTAATTTTTTTTTTAATTTGTAATTTGCAAATTTTGCCTGATTATTAAAAATATATAAAAGTCAACAAATTTTTTCCCCTAATAACAATAGCAATAGTAATATTTAAATATCTATATTTACCATAACAATTTTACTCCTCATTTCTTTTAATTCTTTATCGATTTTATCTTCTTCACTTTGATCTATTGTAAAATCCAATCCCTGTTTTTTTTTTTTACAAACAATAATATTTATATGGATATTTTGCACAGACTATAAAATAAATATAACTCTTTGAAAATAAATATCAACCTTGTAGTGATTTAATGTTATTTGAACATTTTCACGTATAGCAAAAATATTGTCTAATGTATATCTTTCAAAAATTTCATAATTTCGATCGATCAAATTCTCAAGTAACGTTTCAACTTTATGCATTCCCTTTAACAAATTAGAAATAGGTAAGTGGTAATTTGTATATATATATATATACATATACATATTAATGTAATTTAATGAAAATTACAAAGTTTAAAAAAATGAACCTGTGCAGCTTCTTCCACTTGTCCTAATTCTTTTCCAACGAAAACTTCTATTCCAGTAAGAGCAGCATATATAATTTCATTAACAACATTAATAATATCATCAATTATAGAAATTGGAAGAAATCCAAAATGTTCAGTTAATAATTCATGTTCTCTGTACAAATTCTCTGAATTATCCATTGACAACAAAAACATCAAGAGAAGAAATTGACGCGTATAATTTTTTGATTTTCCTTTTTTATACTCATGTAACACGTGACTGATCAAACATCAAAGATGTTTTTTTGTTTTTTAAAAAATGTTAAAATATGGCAATAATTTATATAATGTGCACCTCCTAAATTTTGTATTTATAGAAGTAACTTTCTATCCTACCTTTTAAAAAAATAGCTCTCTCTGTCAGTTGATAGAATATATATCAATCACTGGACATTGCAGATCAAGTGTCATATTTATAAAAAAATGCAATTTAAAATATTTCTTTATCTTTATAATAAACTCGAACTTGATGATCAAAATAAAGAGAAATTACAGCATTGAAGCTTTCTAATTAACGTATGAAAGGTGTTTTCTATGTAAAGTCACGCCTATTTAAAAATGTTTTATCACTCCAAATCTGAGATTATTTTTCAATACCGCTTTAAAAGACTTGATAGATGGCAGAGAACGTGTAAAATAATCTTATTATTATTATGGTCGTTACTTCATGGTTAATAAGGAAAATTTATTTTTTTTGAAATGTCGATATTTTTTGTACCATAAAGTCTGGAAAGATAGCATCCCCTTTTTACATATGTGTAACATTTTTTTTATATTGACGCTCAATTGTTTTAAAGAAGGGGGTGCTATCTTTCCAGACTTTACGGTATCACTCACCAAATAAATCAACTGATGATAAAAAGTACCCAAGAGAAATTGAAATTGTTCGATAAATCCAAATTTTTCAGAGATTGCTGCCTCTACTGCAAAAAAAAAACCCCCCAAAAATGGATTTTAGCAGGAAAACAATACTAAAAAGTTCTTCCACATGCAAATGTTTTATAAAATTGTAATTATTTATTCTCTTTTTCTGATAAGACGTTAGAACAGCTACCTTATTTGATTCATTTAAAGAAATTGATGAATCTAGGATTGTCTTTTCTATTTTGGATTTTTTAATGAGAGCAATTACTATCAACAGTTGATTTACAAAAGAACTCCAAAAATTATTCATTACAAAATTGGATTTCAACATTTATCATTATCATGGAACTTCATTGACTGAAACAAAGTTGACACGCAAAAAATTTATTTATTTAGAATTTTCATCACGAGAGAAAACAAAATATTATTTTGAAAATATGGAATTTTAGATAGTGATAAACTCTATTTGTTGGAAGAGATTCTTTTTAAGTCTCATTTAACAATACTGATTTATCAATTAAAAGAAAGAGCAGAGAAAAAGAATAGCATACTATCAAGTTCATAATGAAAACGAAATTATTACGCTTGCCATAGCAGGAATTGCTTCTATTCCCCCCACTGAAATCTCGGAATTCGATTTATCCAAAGGAGAGTTGGGAATATTTCCACTGAGAATGTTTATCTGTTTTGCAACTTGCGGAGTCACATTTCCTTCAGGCATTTTAGCTGTGCTAGCTTCGCTATTTTTTTCTAAAATATCCTTGCGTAAATATTTACGAAGATTCATTATAGGTTTATTATTAGCCGATATACCAGGTATTTTGTATTCATCAACCTGAGGCTCATTACCTCCAACAATTGATTCATCTGATTGTAATTCTACCTGACGAGATATGGCTTCCAATTTTAAACGTTCCACCTCACCGACTTTTAAAGATAATTCATCTTTCGTTTGCACCAATTCATTATTCATATGTTCCAATTCAGCTAATTTAGATTTGAGGGACAAAAACTCAGATTTTATTAGAGATGAATCATTCTGAGCTGAAAATAATTCCTCTTCCAATAACTTTATTCCAGATTGGAAATAATTCACCTCTTCCATTTTTTCTGGAATAAATCTAACTCGCCGTTCAATGTATTTATTCTTCCCTGAAGCAGTATTATTTCACTCGTCTTTGCAACAATTTTGGCTTTAGAATCCGCAAGATAACGATCCTTCTGAGTAATCCTAGAAGTAAGATTAGTATTTTCACTTCGTAATTGCTTATCTATATTGGCAAATTCCAAAGCTTGAGTACATAAGTTCTGGTGTTAATTCACGATTTAAACCTTTTCTTTCTAGAGACCAAGTCTTTTTTTCCCGTTTGAAACTTTTCTCTTGATCGGAATATTTATCCAGCAATTTTTTGCTAGGATCATTTGTTTCATCTATAGAATTGATTGCAAAATTTAATTTTTCTTCAAGCTCTTTTTCACGCATACTCCCAAGCTGATGCCCTTTTGAGTTGATATCTTGTAATGTATGTACATTGGCCATAAACTATATTGCTTATCCTATGTGTAATAAAAATAGATATGTTAATACTGATAAAAAAAATTCATGCCTGTTGCAGATTCTAAGATTCCCATATTAAACCACTTCTGCATCGGTAACGCACCAATATATAACTGGTTTAATATAGATGTGTAAAATTGGTTTTTTATTGATTTTTTATTGGTCTATATTATCATTGAAATCATTTGTTATTTTTCATTTAAATTGGAAATCAAATATTTATATATACCAATCCTTTATTCTTGATTTCGTAACAAGTGACAATTCAACAACTAATTACACAAACAAAAGTATAATAATAGTAAACATGAGTGAGTAGTAGTAGTAAAAGCAGATTTAATCCTGTGTTGATTATTAACATTTTATACCAGCAACATCCAAGACGGAAAATTGAACCAACATTTAAAGCCAAAACAAGGAACAAAGATTTAATTGTGTTCATCAAAAATGGAGCTCTAGAGATGAACATATGAAAAGCCATGATGTACCTTGAACTTACATACCTGGAACAAACGAGAAGAACTCAAAGATACTTGGTTGAAGCCTTCAAACCACAATATCTACCAGATTGGAAAGTATGTAAAGGAGTTCATCAAATGGCCAAGGAATTACATTGGTCAGTCATGATACCAAATGTTAAAACCAAACTCTCCACGTACTTTATTATATGAACTGGTTCAAAAGTACCATTTAGGAATTCGTAATGAAGATCCTAACGTTAAATTTGTGTTGGAAAAGAAGATTTAGTGTTTGATACAGTTCGTTATAAATACGCTGAAGAACATGTCTCAATGATTGCTTTTGAGATCCTTTATGAAGAAATAGAAATAGAATAGGAGAAAAATTTAATCTATAAGATGGACCTTGAATATCAAAGGTTAATGTTATTTTTAAGGAAGATTACACAACCTAAATCATATAAAAAATATAATTAATGATTTTGGAGCTCCAGTTGAAGAAGAATTTCCTCAAATGACGATAGTGATGATAATGATGAAACAATGACATATACGACATCAAATATACTAGCATTATATCCATCAATGTTCAGTAAGAATGATCATGATGACTATAGTAATCCTGGTCCTATTACTGTCACCATTACTAAACTATCAGCGAGGCCACAACAATGTTACAAACCGTACAAACTGATATTACACATAAGCAAGACATTCATTTCATTGATTCATGACCTAACAGCCAAGTGATGTTAGAAAAAACTAAATATGAGTTATTTAATGGCGGCTGATAGGTTTTATGTTCACTGGAATGATGCGTAAGTCCACTTAGAAAGCTTCAGCGAATCTGTAAGCACACTTTATGGTAAATTAGTGTTGGTCGCCAAAACTATTTTGAAGAGGTAGAAGTCAAAACTAAAATTAAAAGTTAAATATCAAAATTAAATCAAAAATCAAAAAGTCAAAACTAGTTTTGACTTATGGTGAAACCTTTTGACTTTCGCACAGTTGCAATATTCTATAGTTTTGGAAACCAACAACAAATAAAACGTAGCCATATTATAAAGCAATGAATGTTTTAGTGAAGTTCCTTGTTTACTTACTTTTACTTTTCTTTGGCTGATCAAATTCAGCTGCATGCTTGCAAAATACTTTAACACAATACAACAAAGTGATATGTGATAATGACTTTAGTTAATAAATGTCAGCATTTTATACCTGGCTGAACAATACGTTTACACAAAAAAATTTAAATTCTTTTACAAAAGCAAAAATGTTTACACTTAACAAAACCAAATAACCAAAAAACCTCAGAGTTCTATATAGGGTTTCTATTCGAATAAGGTTTATTCGAATTATTTGTTCTATTCGCTATGAATTTGAGTATTCGAAAGTTTATTGAATAATTCGAATAAGAACCTGTATTACGAATAGAAATTCTAGTTTTATACCACTTTGCTTAATTTCAGACTATAAAGTGTTTTTATTAAACAAAAGAATCAATCTGTTTATTATTTACTTTGTAAAATTACAGAAATAATTAATTGACACTTTTCTACTTCTAATCTTATGAGCAAGGCTCGAAATGTTAATTAATTAATTAACTAGTCAATTAGTTGCTAGCTAATAGTAGATAGTTCATAATCCGAAATTTTCCGCTTGGTCAAAAAAGCTACGCTAATCTTTCATTGTTTATTATTATAGAACAATTTTATCGAAGTGCCGGCCAGTCACATTGTGAGCATGTGACCCAATATCTTCCGTCCTTATATTATTACGACCTGATTATGACATTACGATATTACGGCGTGTCAAAAGTCATAATAGTTTGGGTTGCATGTATAGTATAACTCTTGCAGATTGTATGGTATGGGCCATATTTTCCCATACAAAGTCTCACGGAATTTATACAAAATCCTTTTCTGGAGGGAGAGCATTGGAAGTTGCAGTCCATAATGTAAAAAACTCAGTATCATCCAAATAATCAAAGTAAATCAATTAAAAATACAACCGTAAGTTTTATATGTAATAGAAATGAGATTAATATTTTATGTCATTAATGATGATTATAATTATACAATTTTATGCACTAGTTCTTTATTACATACTTTTGGTGGAGGTCATGATATTTGGTTTAAAAAAGGCACTATTCAGTGAATTAAAAGGTTTGTTAATTTTGTATCTATCTATAGTAAGCTGATTTAAAAAATAGTATTAATATTTGTAACACATGATTGGCCATTCATTCTATTTTTAAAATTTTATTGAAAGAAAATAAAAATGAATTCAATATTTGAAAAATATTTTAATGAGAATGAAAGATTATTAAATACAGAAGATTTTTATGATGTAAAAATATATGTTGGTGTAGAACCAAACATTAAAGAAGT